ACCCAATATGCTTTTTTCCATATGTTTTAGTAAGATATAGAGATGCTTCATTCAAATTTAAACTGCCTGGTGTCAATAGGATATGTTGTATTGCTAGAATTTTTTTTATAACTGATGTCCTCACTTTTAGGTTCTTACATGGAAATCACATAGTATATAGACTTAAGATGGAGATTAGCCTGAACATTGTCAAGGGCACACTGATTCCTCTGGAGTCAAATCACCACAAGGTATGAAAAGTGGGCTTCAACTTGGTCAGGGCGGAAGGTAAGTGGACAAAGAACTTTTGCGGCGTTAGGTATGGACTTTAGATTGATTGTTCAATAAGAAACATGGTTACAACACTGTCCTCACAAAGGTATATAAAATATTTATTCCATGTTATGCTCTTTCCTAAAGTTACAATAAAAAGAGGTCTCTTACACAATGCCCAGAGCCCACAGGTGACGATAGCTGAAGAAGAAGCAGAACTCCATGGAAATGAAGCTGAGACCCAGCCGGCATTGCAGGTTTGCATATGAAATCAGAGCAACACTATAAGGAAATAGGTTGCCCAAGGTTATGAGACATCAGTGATTCATTTATCAAGAAAAGGAGGGAGAAAAATAGAAATCTTTCATTGAATATTATCGGTCTCAAATTTTGCCAATAGATTTATGACTTTATTTTAGTAAGGAGGGTAATAACAATGTCACTTAGGATGCTATATTTTATATGTGTAAGTATGCCTATAGTTAATAGAATTCATCAGGCAGTCGGTTTGGTCACTATTTAAAACATGGGTCAGAGGGGCATTAATTCTATTCAAAATGTCCATCTGTTGCTGCCCAACTTGCACGAAGGGTTGCATAGCAACCCATAGTACTGCATGGATCTGGTTGGCCTCCCTCTGTTGCTTTTGTTTGCCCTCTGAGAGAGTTGCCCTTGATGGAGAAACAGTAGGTGTTCTTTTATTTATATATTTATTTATTTTTTTGGCTGGAGCTTGGCCTGGTGAGTGGGGGCTCATTATAACCTGCTGAGCCAGATAGCATTGTGAGGCAATAGCTGACATATGAATGTAATTTATCTTCCTGGCATGATTCTTAGTCCCAAATTGATTCCCAAATTCCTAGGACTGTGGAAATATAGCAATTAAAAAGAAAATATCAGGACCTTTCACTTTTATCCCAGGAAAAACATTCAGCAGAGCAGGCACAGAAAAGGTTCCAGAAGTTTGATTTGATTTTGTGGCACTTAGTTATACTTTTACACTATTCAACATGAGCATATTTCTGAACCTATCCTTTTTTAAACCATACATATCAGGCAATTTGTTAAATCAGAAGGATTCTCAGAAAAGCAGACATCCTTAAAGCTTCTATGCAGCTATTCTAAATACTTGGGTTTCTTGACAACTAATGCACTTTTTAATAATTCATTAAAATTTGCAATAAATTTACACATTTGTAATCTTTCTTAAAATAAGCATTTATCTGTTTTTATTTTCAGTGTCATCTGTATTTTTTGGGTAAACCAAAGAGCTTCTATCTGCTCTCTAGGCATCATGGATGTGACTGTGGGCCACTGATAAACTAGGCTTAGCAAATCATTGCAATGTGAAACCATCAGTAAAGTGCTCTTGAAGAATGCAACATTTTTGACAGAACTGAAAACACTCTATTTTGAGAGAAATTGTTATGCCTTACTAACAGAAGTATGCAATCGTTATACCAGGCTGTTTTTTGTTAATTCGTTGTAGTAAGTCAGCTTAGCTGCTTATACTTTACTCATGGCACAGTTTCAGAAATGCCTTCCCTTTATCTCTGATGAATCTATATATTACAACTTTTTCATATAATTTTAAGCAATTCTGACACCTACTTTTCCAGCTAATAATCTTTAAACTAAATTTTAATAACAAGTCAATTGTCAAGGGAACTCTTGAGAACACTATCTAGATGCTTTGGGGGGAGCTAGGTAATATGAATAATACTTTATACCTTAACTATTATTAAATGCTAATTTTAGTGTGCTGAAATTTTTAGTCATATTAAATCTTTACTAGAATCACTTGTTTTCTTTTTACTTGTGCTTTTCTTTTAATATCTCTTTCTTGAGGTAGAGGTCAAAAATTAGAATTTTCAGATTTCAAGTTCTCACACCTACAAGTGAGAAAAGATACACTGCTCTGAACAAACATGGGCCTCACAGGCATGATGGGTCACAATTAGACGTTCAATTCATTCAAGTGTATTTTACTGCTGATTTTCAGTAAGATAACCATATAACTTATTCTCTAACGCAATCCCTTCAAGAATGAAAGCAGATTAACTGGATGGAACACCAGCACAAGTGACATAAATATCAGACACTGTTGGAAACTCTATGAAGCAATAAGACCCTACTAAACAGAGGGATCAAATCAGGGATCCAGTTTATAAGTAGCCACAAGAAATATCCTACATGGAAGTAGAAACTAGAAAAAATAAAATAGCATGTGCCTCTGTCATAAGAGTCAAGGACTTGAACTGGCAGCCTAGATTCAAAAATTAGATTCTGGCTCTGTCATTAACAGGCTTTGTGACCTTGGTCAAGGCATTTAGTCTCCATGAGATTCAATTTTTCGTGTGTGAAGAGTGATATTATACTCATCTCTTAGTTGTGAAAATCAAATGAAACATTAAGTTTAAGGTGCTTGATGTAGGGCTTGGCCATGGTAATTACTCAATAAATAATGTTTTGGGATTTTTTAATGAATTTTTCTCCTAAATCTCAGCACAGCAGCCAGGATCAGAGACATAAACAAGAGAGAAGTCTTTACCAAGGTAGACCCTTTTTGGCCCCTTGGGTATCATTAATGGGTCCTCGGAACCTGTAACATCTTTCCTCAGGTGGAGAACATCTTTCCTCAGGTGGAGAGTGTTGCTCTTAAAGGTAACAATTAGTCACAACATAACGAAGCAATATAGCAACATGAGCAAACAGGAATTCAGAAAGGCATTTCTCTCTAACTGGAAGAATAATTCTTACATGGAATAATACTCAGCATAAATGAAGATAAACGCTTGTCATTTGTGACAACATAGATGGAACTGGAAGTGATTATGCAAAATACAAATAAGTCAGGAGGAGAAAGACGAGAGTTTCACCTATATGAGGAATATAAACAATATAACAAAACCAAACCTGTAACAAACTTCAGAAATCTGACTTTAGGACTGAAGTTACCAGCTGGAAAGGTGAGGGGAAGAGAAAAAAGTAGGAAGGGAGCACGAAAGACTATAAAACAGGAACTACGGGGGCTTAGATAGGGGGTGGTTTTGGTAACAAGACCTGAAGGGTGTGATGCTATACCTCTAAATCATATTCAGTGTTGTAAACCTATGCTAATTCAATAAAAGAATAATTCTTAAATGACTTGAACTCCTCCAAACTCACTATTCATGACACTAATATATATCACACTCAGGTCGTTGTGAACATTAAATGAAGTAATACATTAAAACAAAGTTTCATTTTCTGTTCTTACACATTGTATACATAAGTGTAAAAAGACAGTCAAGAAAGTTGTCCCAGGTCTTAAAATTAATGCGGTTGAGCACAGCTCTGTGGAGCTGTATGCAGCCTCTGCAGCATCGGTTCAATCCCCGCCGCCCAGAGATACCCACATGGTGCGGCAGACCTCTCCTATCTTGCCCGCTGCTCCCCTCAGCAGTGTATTTCAGTCAGTCTGCCTGTTCTGTTCCCCACTCTGTCTCTGGTGAATCCTCTCACCCTCCGGCGAATCTGGCCTGTACCCCGGTTCTTGTATAAATAAATAAATCTTAAAAAATTAATACATAGCACTCATGGTTTTAACCCAGTTAAACAGCAGAATTCCAACTTTTAAACAGTTTCTTTATTCTCTCTTCTTATATTCCAGCCTGAATTTGGATGACTGAATCCTGACATTGATATTTTAACAGACTGTGACAAGTGTTATGAGGTGAAAATTACACTACAATCAACTTAAGGTCCAAATAACTGGGACAACAACTTAGAAATACATTTAAAAATGGTTGATCTATGGTCGTATATATTTCTTTGTCCACAGAAAATATTCTATCTTTATTTATTGCTGAGAGAAGATGAATCATTCAGCATCAGCCTAGTGGGTTTTAGTTAATGATGAGCAGAAGATACAAGTAGAAAATTTAATAGACACTTACTTCAAAGAATGAAATAGCAGCACAGGAACACAGGAACATATTATTTAACAATGTGATATGTCTTTTTTACCCTTATTGCTTTTAATTTTTCTTTTTAACACTGATTTTCAGCAATCTTATTGTAATATTTCTTGGTGTGGTTTTCTCTGCTTTTTCTGTTGGGATCAGCTTAGCTTCTTGGATCTTTGGGTTTATACTTTTTAATCAAACTCAGTCAAAAACAAAAGGCATCTCCTTTAAAAACTTCAGGATCGCTCTCTTGCTCTCTCACTCTGCTCTATAAATTCTAGCTTCACGGACATCCTCAAAAATACTCCCATCTTCTCACGTAAAAAATACTTATTTCTTGGGTCTGGAAACTGTCTTTAGATGATAACCTGGGCAATTTTTGTACTCATTGAAAATAATCAAGAAAAGACTTACTAGTATAAATTAAGAATTTTGCATTGGAGTAGAGATCTGTAAGGATAAATATGAGAGAATTTATTAATTTATTAGCTTAGGCATTGACTCTGTGACTCAGGATTCAATGTTCTGAAAAGAACATCCCTAATATATTCTGGTAATTTATTGGTGTGACACCTTGAAATTTGGACATCATTACAACTTACTGTAAATGGGGTAATGATGAAAAGTAGAGAACGAAGTGTAAAAGGGTCAAAGGATAGAAGGCTTAAGTAGGTAAAAAATGTTCAAGTGAATTTTCTATGTTTGAATTTCAAATCTACCCCCTGATAAGTTTACTAAGCAACAGAGAACACACCCTTTACTAATAGCATAACAAAATGTACTAGTGAGGGTGGCACATACCTGTTCCTTTGAGAAACATCATGTTTGCTGTCCTCTGTAGACTCATACTGATTCTGGCAGATGAAGTCTTATCTCAACGGAGATATCATTATCTGCAATGACAGAAGCACTTGAACATCAGAGGCATGACAGGTGTTTTCTGTATTGGACATTAATTCAAGCACATTAGAATGTGCTTGAGAGTACTTTCAATCCCAGGAATCCATGACAAAGCCAAAGGATTATTAATAATCTAGAGGAAAAGTAATGGAGAGCTGACTAGATCGCCTATAAAATGGAAAAAATTGAGAGTGGGCTAACAATGTTGTTATCAGCCCCTGGCATTAAAAACTATGATCCTTTGTTCATTTTTCAAATCTAAGTTTCCTGGCCCAGTGCTCATGAAGGGAAAACCAAATTTCTTTGTGTAAGAACCTTGCAACACTATTGTAAGTACATACCTTAACTATCTTTCTGATCCTGTCTTTAAGTGACCGAGGATTTATCACAGTAACTGTACACTAGAGAATGAGGAATGGCTGCATTTTTTATCTACAGTTACAGGGTCTCAGGTGATTTGGGGGACCTGAAATGACACCATGATCTCCTAGTTAGAATAGGGACTTTATGGAGGATAAATTTTAAATGCAGTTTTGCTTTAAGCTAACAATGAGCACAATGGGTCCTCTAATCCACCCTTTGGATATTTCCAGAATTCCTAAATACATAATTTTGATATAAAACTTAAAACATGGCAGATTTGTACTGATCTGTGAGGGCCACTATGACAAGGACAAATGGAAGACAAGAAATTTCTCACTCTTTACTCAAAATAGGTAATCAGGGGTTTCCCTGGTAGTGCAGGGGTCAGTCTCAGCACTATTAATCTATCTGCAGCCACTAGAACAAGTTCTATCCCAGTCAGGGAACTAACCCCCAAGGCACAGCAGACCTCTCCTGTCTCATCCACTGTGCCCCTCAGCAGTGTATTTCAATAGATCTGCCTGTTCTGCTCCTCACTCTGTCTCTGCTGAATCCTCTCACCCCCATATCTCTGGCCTACACCCCAGTTCTTGTATGCATGAACAAATAAACAAATCTTTAAAATAAATTTTTAAAAAAAAAAGATTATCAGAACAAATACTGAAATCCTGGAGCTAGAGAATAGTTTAAAAGCCTTAAAAGATTAAAAAGTAGTGATTGCCATTGTATTTTCATCCAATTCATCCTTTGAACCACTGCAAAAAGCAATGGAATATCATGGATGATGGACTCTTACTAATTTAAAAGTTCAGTAATTGCCATTCTAGTTCAGCAAAACCAACAGCGTTTGATCTGCAAAAGTTGATACATAAAAGCATTTTTATTAAATTTTTTTTACATCATTGTTCATGTTTAAACAATATTTGCTTCCCCTCACCCCTTCAGACGTAGTCCCCATAGTGTTTCCTTCACCAATGCACCCGTGCACCATCACCTCAGTTCCCCTGTGCTCCTCACTCCCTCCCTCTGATCCCTCTCCTGCCTCCTCCCCTGTAGTATATTCACACTTAGGGATCTAATCTTACCCAAAGGACACAAAAACATTGATTCAAAAGACCACTGTACTCCTATGTTTACTGCAGCACTGTTTACAATAGGTAAAACCTGGAAACAACCCAAATGCCCCAAAATAGATGACTGGATCAAGAAGATGTGGTATATATACACAATGGAATATTATTCAGCAGTCAAAAAAGATAAACTTATGCCATTCACAGCAATGTGTATGGAGCTAGAAGGAATTATACTCAGTGAAATAAGCCAGAAAGAAAAAGAAAAACATCGGATGGTTTCACTTATAGCAGGAATATAGGGGAACCAAATAAGACATCAGTGTAAAAAAAATAGTAACAGTACAAAACACAACAAAGCAAAAACGGACAATTATAAAAAGCATTCTTTTTAAAATCAAATTTCATTGATTTCCCATTTGTTTATGTAACTGCATGATTTTGGGAGTACAACTTCACATCTCAATGTGTATGATTCACTCACCTGCCACCAGACTTCAGTGTCACTACCTTATCACATTACCTTTCCATTCTGTCCTCCCTTCTCTCAACCATAGTATTGTAAATATATTTTTCTTGAATTCCATCAAAAAGGAGATTCCTAAGCCATTCACTGTTACAGGGCAAGGAAAATACACATTTAGTATCTTGGCCCAGACCTATACTACTCTCCAGCTTTCTGTCAAAATATAGTCTTTGAATATCCTGATTTCTGCAGAATGCCATACAGAGCCACTGTGTGGCAGACAGTTATTTGACTGTCATAAGTGGAAGGTGATCAATATCTCAAGGTCTTAGCATGACACATGTATGCCAGAAGTTGGAGATAAAGTCAAAAATTGAGAGTGCTGTCACTCTGGTGGAAATTTTAGTGGTCCTGGGGTATGGAACATATCAAGGCACCATTTCGAAAATAGACCTCTAAAATGATCCCTTTTGATTTTGGAGGTAGCATATAACTCACTTGCTAATGCTGATCCAACCTATTAATTGGGTGATTCAGAAGATAACCAGCGAAAGAAATATCTGCAGTAATTATAGACCAATATGCAAGTTTCCACACAACAAACACTTCATGTCCCTGCACATTTGGCAGCGACAGGGATGTCTGTGATTGGTAAGGATGCAGTGTAGAGTCTCTGGTAAGCCCCAGCCTCAGAGGTACAATGCAAACACCCAGATTTCTGGGCCAAGGTCATGCAAGTAGGAGAAATATTCACTGCTTTAAAAACCTGTGCTCTTACACTACTGAGCACCTGATTCTGGGACACTGAACAAATAGGAACACTTAACACCCAAAAGGAGTGAACTTTGACAGCAGATATTGAAAGCTGGCAGATAAATTCTTTCTCTCCCTTTTATTCTATGGAGGCAACATTGGTTTGTAACACGGTATATGATTCAGACGGAGGTCATAAGACCACAACCACCACCAAAAGCACCCAGAGTCCTCTCCCCACTTTGTCCCTCCCAGACAGACTGGCTTCCAGATGTGGCTGGTCCTGCAGCTTCTCAGAAGACGATTCTGTGGGGTCAGTAGTACTAGGTGCTAGTAACATCCGTCCTTCAGTCTTTCTTCTTTCCTGTATCTCTCTCCTTTTCTCCCACTCCTGCTGTCCTGTGGTATTTTCTAATAAACGAGCAGCACATAAACTTTGCCCCAGGCTCTGCTTTGTGGGGAAACCAAAAATAAGCTCTCTCCTGCGTAAGCCTCTTTAGGGTATAACCTATCATTTCAGCTCTACCTTTCCAATCGCCTCTCCCAATACTCCTTGCCTTGCAATTTATGCTCTTATGATATCAAATTGCTTTAATTTCCCCACAGAAAAGACACTTTCATACCATTAGAATTTGGCTTATATTCTTTATTTAATCAGGAATATGATCTTTCATTTTCATTTAATTATTTTGTAGAGATCAACTCAGGAGTCACCTCCTGTGTTCTTCCCTCAGTCGGAAAGCAGGCAGTGCAACAGCCTCCAGCTGTCCTCGAGGGGATTGTCAGGCGTGCCCAGACCTCTGACACACTAGAAACACCACCAGAGGTAGCAGCACTGTAATCTCCATGACTTTTCTCTCCCACACTCTGGTGTGCGTGTGTTAACTAGGGTCTCCAGGACACACTGGGAGCCATCAGGAGACAGGAGGATGCAGAGTAGGTCAGGAGAAGATGTGGAGGCTATTTTAACACTCTGGTTAGATATCTGGGCTCTAATTTAGATTAGTGATTGAAAGGAGATCCATACTCAGGGCAGGAAGGCAAAGAACTCACTAGAGAGGGAATAAGATTCAGGAACACGTGCTCGCTTTGGGAAGAAGGGTGGAGGAAGGCTGCAGGTGCAGTTCCCATCCTGGAACTGAAGACTTCACCAAACAGGAATCGAGGCCACATTTTACAAGCCAAATGAGTGCTTCTGATGATAGCTCAAGTTATTTATATTTGGTTCAAAGAGTCATCACATTTAGAGTAAAACTCTTGGGGTGGAATAAATTGATTCTTTGCTGTGTGCTGCGTTAGACAGCAGGGTACAAAAATTAATCACACAGGGTCTTTGCCCCAGGGACTGTACCTTCAAATGTGGAGCACAGAACTGACCCCCTGATGTGATCATAACATGATAAATGCTGCAAGAGAGGTAAACCCAGGACACTGTGCAAGACTGGGAAGAAGGCTTGGCCCAGCCTTAGCTTGCAGAGCATGATCACTGCGACCCCGGCATGTTAACTCAGAGCAAGTCAGGAGGATTTTTAATGGTAATCAAGACTCTCTTTAGCAAGTAGGAGCCACAAAAAAACATTGAATCCTGATGTACGTGATCCCAGATTGTTCTGCTGCAAAAAAAAAAAAAAAAAAATGTGGCCAGATTTTGATAAAAAGTAAACCCATTTTATATTGTTTTCTGTGCTTTTTCCCACTGATAAAACATGTTCTTCTTCAGGTTCTTTCTAACACTGTAAAAGACTTCTGAGTATGATGGAGTTTCTGCATCCAGTTCTGCTTTGGTTATATTTGGCTAATTTATTTTACTAACTATTTTAAATGGTCTAACTTGATTCTGTGATTTTATACAAATAGCCTTTTAGCAGTATTTTATAAGTAAACCAACATTTCTTTTCAGGTATACCGTGTAAGATTCTGAAAATTTTTCTTTTTAAACTCTTTCCCCTGCAGACAAACATCTTCCTCCTCTCATTGCTACTTTTACTTGCTTAATGTCTTACTTATGAATTCTCTTAGGTTCCTATGTTTTGGGCAGGAGGGAAAGATTATCCATTTGGATTCATGCCCATTTGAGCACTTTCGTCCCAGGAGTGAATGCACAATTATTAAGACATTAGACTTCTTGAATTCTGTTTGATATTGAAGGGTGTTGTTTACTCCCCAGTTCTGGAAGCTCACACAACTAACACTGAACAGTTCACACACTCAGAGCTGTATGTGGTTGTAGTCTGAGCTGGAGTACATTTGGATGGAGGGAGAATGTGTCAACAGAATGTGGACAGCAATAAGCACATGTGTTCTCAAGACAGAAGAGCACATTTGCCTCCTTACTGCCTGC